TTTTTATAAGTGCTTTTTTTTTTTGTTAATTTGAAAGAGCCATCGGTTTTTAAAATCCTTTCTTCTGCAATAAAGAAAGTTTCCCTTCCCTTGGAACATTTACATTTCAGTAAATGCATATTTTTTGGCTTCTGATTAAATGCAGACTAAAATCTTTGTATACGGACGTTGACTTTCATTTTTTTAATTTGTAATTGATTTATTTTAAGATTTTGTTTCTGTTTCTTGCCTAATATGATGTTTACGGGCCGTTTAGTTCGCTGATTCGAGTTTTTAATTTGAGTTGAGATATAACTTTATGTGATAGTTTTTTACTGTAACAAAAAAGTTAGATGTAATTATTTTTTAGAGTTTTTTACTATAGTAAAACTCGAATTCTAAACTCAAATTGGTGAAATGAACGGATTTATTTCCTTTTTTTCATTATACAATGATATAAAAGTCTTATAGTATAGATTTTTGTAAATAAAGAAAAAAAATAGGCATTTTTTTTAATTCAAGTGTTCATAATAGTCATTTATGTAAATGACCCGCATTCTGCACTCTTTAGGATGCTGATGTTTAATACACAATGAAAATGGCCCTAAAATGGAGTTTTTGTCCTGAGTTTTGGCATGGAATTTCATTCTGATTCCTAATCATTCATCATAACTTACTAAGGGGCTATCTTTAAAACTTGATTTTAGTACAATCTAATTTTCTATCCATTTTTGCAAATTATTTTTTTTTCCTCAATTTTAATGACATCATTATTAATTAGGTTTCATAAATTTGAAGCGAACTCCTTATGCTAGCTGCTGTGGTCTTGTCGGCGACTATCCTTCAAAAGTAATTTTTTCGTCACATTATTAATAGGTCAATATTTACGATCAAATATTTTAGCATTTAAATTTATACTAGTCCAGATATTACAACAAACTACGTTTGGTTATAGTTTTACCAATTAACTTATATAGGGAAGAAAATCATTAAGCTCTTTTTAACCAACAGTGGAAAAAAATAAAAGAATAATTTCAAATTTGGCCTTGGAGTATAGAGTCGATTCATTTTCATTCCTATGACAAAAAAAAAAAAAGAAAAATCTTTAAGATTATTATACGTTATAATTTTGATAATTTCATTAGTGAGGCATTAATTTTTTAAGAATTAAATAATTTTTAACTCCGTTCATTTCACCGATTTGAGTTTTGTTACAGTAAAAAGATCTCAGAAACAGTCACATTTAATTTTTTTACTATAATAAAAATCTCTCACATAAAATCACATCTAAACTCGAATTAAAAACTCGAATCAACGAACAAAACGAACCCTTTATTTTTTGGGTTGAATTTGAAATTAATATTTTCTGAAAAAATAATAAACCAAAAACCACTAAAGAGCATCAAATTTTATCATGGTGAGCGGTTAGTTATACAAAACTGCTGGTCAATTATTCAAGCTCTATCCACATTTCTTCCTTCGAGAAAACATTGAACAAAATTTGACCAGCTATTTATTAATTTCTGTTTTGAATCCACATTAAAAAAAAACTGACACTTTTGGGATCTGGGATTTTGATTTCAACAGTTGTTCACGACTTTCAGCCCCTTGGTGTGGACAAAAACATGTGCCGATATTAAAAAATAGACAAAACTTTACCGGATAATAATGAGCAAAAAAAAATACCCAACAATTCTTTTAGACCAAGAATTTGTCCCCATTGCAAAATATAGAAAGAAAGCAGTTTTCCCATATTTTCCCCCTTTGTTTTTTTTCCTTTTTAATTTTTCTCTCATGGGAAAAGAAAAACAGTGTGGAAAATTAATGCGTTGCTTTTTTGCCACCGCCTGAAAACTGAACTATTTTGGCCGCTTCTTCATTGCAATACGCAAACTCATATATAAATAAAAACTGCAGCTGCATTGATTGACTCGATTTCACAAAAATCCTAAAACAAACTTCTAGAGGAGTCCAAGCATTTGAATGCTTTCATTAAATATGTGGATAGTCAATTTCCATTTAAAGAATTTTCCCAACATGGAAAATAGCAGCCATTGAGATAAAAGTAGATAGAGAAGTTGTTCACTATGTTCTCAAATTCGAACTTATGCATATCCTCAATAAATCTTTGTGGAATATTAAAAAAAAATTTCCAATGGTAAAAAATAGTTTAAGATGTCATATCAGATTAATAAAATATGACACTTTAATAAAATTTAATAAGAACTAATAGTTAAGTATTGTTTTTTATTTCTCTTAATTTTAGATGTCAGATTGCATCACAATCATATCAGATTATAAAGTGTAACCTTTTAACAAAAATTAATCATATCAGATTATAAAGTATAGCATTTTAACAAAATTTAATAAAAATCAATAGTTAAGTATTGTTTTTTATTTCTCTTAATTTTAGATGTCAGATTGTTAAAAAAAAAATTAATCATATCAGATTATAAAGTATAACATTTTAACAAAATTCAATAAAAATCAATAGTTAAGTATTGTTTTTTTATTTCTCTTAGTTTTAGATGTCAGATTGTTAAAAAAATTAATCATATCAGATTATAAAGTATAACATTTTAACAAAATTTAATAAAAACAATAATTAAGTATTGTTTTTTTATTTCTCTTAATTTTAGATGTCATGTTAACAAAAATTAATCAAAGTATAACATTTTAACAAAATTTAATAAAAATCAATAGTTAAAGTATTGTTCTTTTATTTCTCTTACCTCATCAGAGAATTTTCCCTTTTCAATTTAAAAAAAAAATTAGTTTAATGGAACATTTCTTTCTGTTTGGTTAATGGATTCAGAATCATGATTTAAAATTATTTTTGTTTTATGTGTATTTTTTTAAGAAAAAAATACTATAACGAGTCACGAATCATGATTGGAACCAAACGCATTTTCTTTCTTTTTCTTTTTCCTTTTTGTTTCTTGGGTGTGGATTAATCATGACTTCTCTCATACCATCTAGGGTCCATTCCTAATCATTGGGAAGAAAGATCTTTCCTATTGGGTGAAAGGTCAACTCCATGATCTATCACAAACACAAACTTCTATAAATACAAGGAATTCCCTGCTAAATTTGCGAGCAGCAAATTTGGGTTGCTCTCATGAACTTAGACACGCAAGGCAGAGTAAATCATACAAATTTAGAACAATTGTGCAACTTGGTCTTATTGAAGGCAACATATATTTATACATAAAAATATGACATTACTATATACATATATTATGTTGCAGTTTCTTGCTTAGACAGCAAGCAATGACTTAATCCATTGACAAATAATCTTCAAAGGCATGATTAATACTAGGATTTGATCCGGACCAATCACCTTTCTACAGACAAGCAAAAAGAAGTCACAAATAACTACAGTTTGAAGGAATGTGTAAGATTCATGAAATCAATAATCTGGGAAGTCAGAAAAAAAAAAAAAAAAATCTCCCTTGTGAAGAGCATGTTGTAAGGTTTGCTGGGAACAAAAGCATGATCTTAAACAATTTTTTTTTATTTTTTATTTTTTATTTTTTACCTAATCCATGAACATTTCTTTATATGAACCAAACCCTTTTTTTATACCAATCATTGGCATCATTAAGGAATAATTGGTAGGAGGCATATCACCTATAAAGTTAGTATAGATGAGTACAAAAAAATAAAATATTTGAATCCATATATATATATATATACACATCTAAAATGAGAGAAATAATGGGTCCACTTGATAAGCCCTTTCTCTCTTGCCCTTTTGTCTTCTCCCTCTTAATATAAAATAGATGATTTCCAATTCTTCCCAATAATGCTGCAGGTTATGGATATCCAAAACCCCCTTTAAAACTAATCTGAAAAATGGGAATTCTTTTCTTATTTTACTTCCTTCTTTTTGCTATTCTTTTAGCAAAAAGCTCTTGCTTAAAAAACTAATTAAGGGCAAATTTTAATTGGGTTTCTGCTCAGCAAAGACACTAACTAGGCCGATTGGAAAAAACAAACCCACACCTAATATTGGAATTAAGACCTGACCCTATACCTCATAGCTCTCCAGGTAAACATTTTTTTTTTTTCTATTAATAGAAAAGAATCTAATGTGGCATGGTTTTAGGTGATGACAAGGAATGGATGTTGACCTATCAACAAAGGGGATAGTACCAAACAAATCCATCTCATGAGAATGGATTAAATATATAAGTGGGTTTTCGTTGCAGATTATTAATTTCTGTTTAAAAAATGTTTTAGTTGAAATGGTACAAGCAAAGTTTTAAGAGAATAAAATAAAAGTATAATAGCACCCTCTCCCTCTCAAAGGCCCAAGTTGTCAAAAGTAAACTCAATTCCCTTTTGGGCCAGGAAAAGATCAAGAAAACTCCTCTGGAGCTTTTCTGCTTTTCATTTATACATTTGTTTTTTTCCCCTTTCCTAGTGCTTTTACCACCTTTTATGAAAGAAAACATTGCCTCATTCATTTCTCACATAAAATGTGGAGTTTATTGTTATTGTTATTTTATTTTGATATTTTATTTTAATTTATTTTATTAGTTTTATCCAGTAAGTACTTGCAATCCCTGAAGAGCTCAAACAAAAAAGAGCCAATGGAAAAGCTCAGGCGGTTAGAAGAGAGAGAGAGTGGAGTAGGAGTCAGTGATTCTAGTGGGTTCCTGTAAATGACCCCACATTTTCATTTCTCAAGTTTTTTTTTTTTTTTTTTTTTTTGGTTTATTTATATCTAATAAAATAATAATCAAATTTCTTTCATGCCCTTTTTTTTTTTTTTTTTTTCAAACCCCACACAACCTATAGGGCCTGAGACAGGTCCGCAAGGACAAGAGTTTCTGTACCCTGGAATTAGTTTCAAAATCTGTATCATACTACAAGAGACAGAGTGATAAAAGCATCTCTCTTATATAAGACTAATCAATTAGTTTTCTTCATAGAGAAGGTGTAAAAGGATTAAAGGAAAAAAAAAAAAAAAAACAGAGAGAGATAGAGACAAAACAAAACACAGACACACACACACATATCCTTATGAAGGATCAGAAAAAGTTTTGCAAAGAAGGATACATCTGAGAAAGGGACTGGACCCTCTTCGTGTGGCTTTGCCTATAGATACATATCATATATATATATATATATATATATACATACTTTGACAAGAAAGCTTTGATCTTTTTCACTGCCTTTGCTTGCCTTTGCGCGTCTCTCTCTCTGTCTTTGGTGGGTTTTGTTTTGCTACTCCATATTGGTCTTCCTCTTAGGAAATCCCTCGAAGGAAAAATTAAGGTAGAGAAAAAAAAAAAAGAAAAAAAAGAAAAAGAAAAGTTGCCTAAAGTTTCCACCAGGTCAAGTCCTCTGTTTTTTTTCGTTTTATGTTATTTTCCTTTGTGCTTGATGGTTGAATTTCGGCTTCTTGTTGTTGAAGAACAAACATGATCAGATTAATGGTCTGAAATTCTGGTCTTGCATGGCGAGCCACAGAGTTGGAGAGACTGGTTTGTCAGACTCAGGACCTTCGAATCACCATATGCCATATGCAGTTTTCCATGGGATTAACAATCCTGCTTCAACAAGCTTCATGTATGAATATAACATGATACAGAATACCACTTCCAAATTCCAAACTTTTTTCTTGTATTAAATTTGATTTCATTATCTTCAAACCTTATAGATTAATGGGTTCTCTTCATTTTTTTCAAATTTGGATTGTTATCTCTTTTTATTTTATTTTATTTTTGAGTTGATTTCTGACACGGGCAATTAAATTTCTGCTCTCTTTGTTGTTGTTGGCAGTAATCAAGAAGGATCGGCTTTTGATTTTGGAGAGCTGGAACAAGCAATCGGTCTGCAAGGAGTGAAGATTGGAAATGATGAAGCTAAAGCACGTATGGCCTTTTGCTATTAGTATTATTTATCTTCTCTCTCTTTTTTCTGTGACGTTTGATAAGCATAACCAACTCAAGAAAAAAGCAGAGAGAAAGAAAAAGAGAGAGAAAATAAAAGTTTGAAAATGTCTTTGGTAGTGTTACCATTTCCAATACAGTAATGATTTAGAGGACGAGAGACTTGAATGGCGTGAGGCTACAAACATAGAAACCTGACCTTCCCAGCATGATTTACTGACTCCATAACTGCACAAAAGGGAGAGAGGATTAGGTTCCCTCACACACCACCTTTTTTCAACACACACAATTGATACTATAGAGGAAAAAAAAAGTTATTTTATTTTCAATATATATATATATATATATACATATATCTCCTTTTGATTGATCCTGTGATGAGATTATATTTTTGCTTTTGTTGATTCTTTTGCAGCTTTTTTCACAGCCAGGCCTGCAGCTACTCTGGAAATGTTCCCTTCATGGCCAATGAGATACCAGCAAACCCCAAGAGTAGTAGTTTCTTTTTTAAACTTCTCTTTCAACTTTCCTCTTCTTTGACCAATATTCTTCCAATTTTCTCTCCAAGTATATATTATCATGATTTGCATATGGGTTTTTGAGCTTTTGTCACAAAACATGCTAATAATATTGTTTTTAATCTTTGCTGGTTATTTTTTTTGTGTTTAAATAAATGGGCAGGGAAGTTCAAAGTCAGGAGGGGAGAGTACAGATTCAGGATCAGCATTGAACAACAACAATATCAATAACACTCTTTAAAGCAAAGAGGCACAATTAGAGCCAGAATCTCCTCTAAGTAAAAAGACAACATCTTCATCAGATCATCACCAAGCTTTTGATCATCAGAAAAGTCTACAACGTCAACAACAGCAGAACATGGCCACTGATACCTCAAGAACAGGAGGGCCCACATCATCACAAATTCAATCAGCTCCCAAACAACCACAAGAAAAGGTGTTAGTTTTTTGCCTTATTACTTCTTAAAAACAACTACTACTACTACCACTGTACTCTACTCTACTGCTACCACTAGTACTGTTTTATAATACTGTTAAAAACTCCCAGTTCTTCTGTCTCCTTGCCTAGTCCCCATAACTGAGGAGAAAAAAGGTTGGTATCTTTATTTTATCTATCTCTCTCTCTCTCTCTCTCTCTACCCCACCGAATATCTTGAAAATTTACCGCTCGGATCCCAACAACTCTCAGAAAATCAAAGAAAGGCAGAGCTTTCCTGATTTCTGAACGATTTTCTGATAAAATGTCTGACAAGAGAGAGAGAGAAAATAAAAAGAAAGAACTGTACAGTATAAAAAGGCCAACTGAGAATCTCCACAGTACTTGTTACTGTTTCTTGTAGTCTATATAATAAATAAATACAAATATATAAAGTCCCACTTTACTCAAACCCCAGAACTCAAAACCAAAACTTGTTGTTTTTCTAAAGCCTTTAAACACACACAAAGTTGTTCTAGCTCTAGTATCAGAAAAAAAAAAAAAAAGAAAAAAACTCCTCTTCTCCCAAAGAAATGGCAGAAAATGATGTGTTTTGCTATCCATACAATGTTGATGATTACCTGCCGTCTCAACATGACCACCACTTCTCAAATCAACATCACAATCCTGAAATTCTTCCCGGAAATCCTGTGAGAATTCTTATCATCTTTTTTTTTTTTATATAAAAAACAAGAATAGTAGAATCTCCTCCAAAGATACTGCTATCAAATCCAAGCTTTTAACAAACCAAAGAAAAAGGACGATACCAAATAGTTTTTTTGATGGAAATTTACACTTTAGTTTTACAAGAATTTTTTGAAGCTCTTTTTTTTTTTTTTTCTCTTTTCTTCAAATGCTGTTAGTGTTTAACCGTCTTTTTTTTTTTCCTCCTCTCCTTCATTTTTTTCGTTCTTTCTACTTTTCTACCAAATACCATAACTCAGCTATATTACCGAGTACCTTTTCTTCTTTTCTGTCTTTCCCTTTCTACTTTATAATACGTATTTTCTCTTCTTTTTTTAAAAAAAAAAAAAAAATCCTAAATGGGTTTTCAAAAATCAATCAAAAGTAATCAACTTTTTTTTTCTTTTGAATTGAATGTTGCAGAGGAAGGGACCTGGTTCAACTTTATCGAAGCCACTTGACGCTAAGGTAACGGACTATCTTTTCCTTTCTTTTTTCTTTTATTATTTTACCGATTTATTTCTTATTTTTAGTTGACAATTTTAAGCTCTGATTTTTTTTTTCCTTTATTATTCTTTTTTTTCCCCTTAGACATTGAGACGCTTAGCTCAAAATAGAGAGGCTGCAAGAAAAAGCCGTCTGAGAAAGAAGGTAAAGAGTTTTTTTTTTTTTTTTTTTTTTTCTCACAGAAATAAAAGTCATATTTTCCAAGAACAAGTTTCCAAGATCATATTTATTTGCAATAATAAATGGTTATTTTTCTTTGTTTTTTTTTTATTTTTAAATTGGTTCATAGGCTTATGTGCAACAACTAGAGTCAAGTCGAATAAAGCTTACTCAGATTGAACAAGACCTTCAAAGAGCCCGCACGCAGGTTTTTATTTTTAAAATTATTTCCAATAATGAACTTAATTCCCCCATTGAAAATGATATTTTAGCTGTTTATTATTTTGATAATTGCATAAATATTCTCTCTCTCTCGATTTTATATTTGTATTTTTAATTAACTACAGAATTATTGTCCAACAAATGAATTTAATTTCCGTATTGAAAATGATATTTTAGCTGTTTAATTTTATCAAAATCGTATAATTATTCTCTGGTATTCTGGATTTCATATTTTTTTTTTATGTATTAATAGAGTTAATTATTTATTTTAGGGATTATTTTTGGGTGCTTGCGGTGGTGCCGCCGGCAATATCAGCTCAGGTGAGTTTCTTTGACGCAATGTTTTGGCATTTTTTGTTTGACCAGAGTAGCCTTTACTTTGTGATTATATTACGGAGAAAATGACAAAACCAAAAGAAATGGATCATTTTGTTTCTCTTGGGTAGTTTGGTACTTTCACATCATTGAGTGTCTTCGTTAGGCAAAGGGAATGAATTCAGCAGAAGAGCTCTGCCAAAGCTGAAGTCAACTTTATAATTTTTTGCATATAATATTTGAAAAAAGGAGTTAATTTAAGGCTGACTTATCATATTATTTATAGAAAACACTGACGATTCGCTGCTAGTGAAGCACCATCACACGTACATAGATAAGAGAAATAAAATATAATAAAAAATAAAAATAAACCAGAATTTTTATTTTGTTATATGGCAGTCGTAATAGTAATAAATACTTGAAGCTTTCTTTCGGCATAAAACAACTTATAATTATAAATTGTATTTTAAGTAAAAAATCTATTCTACCGTATTATTTTTTTGTCAGAATTTGGAAAAAAAAAAAAAACAAACAAACAAATCGATATAAATACTAAGAAAAAAAATCCATTTGGCAGACATCTCTGAATTTGACCCAAACCTCCTCCAAAATTATTGTCAACTTTTTAAATTCTAAAAAAAAATATTCGTATAAATTAAGACAATATTTAAGTAGACGTTTAGTTTACAGATTCAGAATCATTCTTGATTTATGTATATTTTTTTTATAAAAAAAAAATTATAACGAGTTACGAATCACGACACGAATTCTCGTACCAAACACCTTCTAAATAAACGATAAAAGTCTTCAAACATAATTTTGTCAAGTCTTCAAACATAATTTTGTCCTTTTGCAAACGTATATGACCAGTACTTTATGGTTCCTATTTTTTTCATGAATTTATTTCTTAATTATTTGTATTACTTTTATTCAAGGTGAAAAAAGGTAGAGGTAATTAGTTTGATACTGTCCGGTATTATTTGTATTTAGCATTTTTTTTTGGTGAACTAGAGGTACCACTATAGCGTGCCCAAATATATACAAACAATAGTTGGTGCAACTCATTCACATAAAGTTACAATATTAATGTTGTGTATAGGGGCTGCAATTTTTGACATGGAGTATGCAAGATGGCTAGAAGACGACCAGCGACACATGACGGAGCTCCGAACGGGGCTGCAGGCGCATCTCCCGGACGGAGACCTCCGAATGATAGTCGACGGTTACATTTCGCATTACGATGAAATTTTCCGGCTCAAGGGTGTGGCTGCAAAGTCTGATGTGTTTCACCTCATAACTGGAATGTGGACCACTCCCGCCGAGCGTTGCTTCCTCTGGATGGGTGGCTTTAGACCCTCTGAGCTTATTAAGGTTGCAATAAATATCTTCCTAAACTTGAGTAAATGATAATATATATACTGCAATTATATCACAGGATATACATTCTGAGTACTAATATTGAGATAATCAGACTTTACCGTGAAAAATAGAAAAAAAAAAGAGATTAATAAATGCACTTCAGGTAAAATAAAATAAAATTAATAACTTATAGCTAGTAGGCCGTTTTGAAACGGTATTATATTTTGTAACATAAGTTGTCTAGAAGTACGTATGCTAGCAAATTCCATAACGATATTTATGAGGTTTTATCTCAAATTATTATTATTATTATTATTATTTTGAGATAAAACCTCAGAGAGGAAAATTTATTGAACACGAGAAAGAAAAATCAGGTTAATTAATTACAAATTGCAGGTTTTTATATTTTGGGTTGTAAGGTTTTTTTTTTGTTCTTTGCTGAATTTTATTTCTGGTTAGCTAGTTAGATTATACATATTTGTGTGTCTAATTGTTTTTTTTTCCCCTGAAAAAATATATGACAGATGTTAATACCGCAGTTAGACCCGCTAACAGATCAGCAACTGGTGGGGATATACAACCTCCAGCACTCGTCACAACAGGCAGAGGAGGCTCTCACACAGGGGTTGGACCAGCTCCAGCAGTCTCTCGTCGACACCATCGCCGGCGGGCCCGTTGCCGACGGCATGCAACAGATGGCTGTCGCCTTGGGCAAGCTCTCCAATCTTGAAGGATTTGTTCGTCAGGTAAATTATCTCCATCCCAATTAAATATTGTTCGAGTATTTATGAATAAGCTAGTTTACAACATTTTGTTTTTTTATCTGTTGTTGAAACCGGTTATCTTTGACCTATAATTACATAGCTAGATTACTAAACATTAGTTACACCACTTTTTTAATACATACACATTAATGTAAAATATAGTATAGTTTGCTTTTTCGTTGTACACGTACTCATTTGCATGCACCATAAAGTGTCATATAATTTTTACATATTTTCATTTCCATTCATGCTTGGATATAGGCATTTCTTTAAGAGTTAATACTACACTAGAATAATAATTCATTCTATGGGTTTTAATATTTCCATCCCCCAAGTGGCCAAGTCATTCACGAGTTTTTAGAGTTTTACTTTGTATATAATATATATTAATTACGGTATTAATGTCGGCTATCAAGCTAGAAAGAGAAAGAAAAAAAGTTTAATATTTTTGTAAATTGTAACATACAAGTCTCTTCGGGTGATTTCCCAAAGAGTCAAAAGTTTATATTTTGTTCCCTATGTTCATATATATATATATATTATAATATAATATGTTGTTGACAAATTGATGTCTGGATATTTCTTGGGTTATTCAAATTCTAACTCTCTTATTTAGACTAATTAACCCCGTCTTGTGAAAATTAATCAATCTTTACTTGTCGTACCAGCTACTAGTTGGTATAGAAATATGGAGCCCAGTTCTTGACAATTGGTTATAATTCAAAATTCTTAATTTTTTTTTTTTTATATACACAATTTGCAAATGAAAATATTGAATAACCCTTGTATTTCATTATATAGTATATTCCTTCTCTCTGTCCTCTTCTTTTCCGCCGCAATTCTATTTCTTACACGGGTACACCTGAAGGGTAAGATTCCAATTGGTTTTCACTTTCTTATGTCACCTTGATTTAACTTATTAATTGACTTTTATTTTGAACTCTTCTATATACAGTTTTTTTTTTTTTTTTTTTTTTTTTTTTTTAAAACCCTTTTGGAATACTAGCTATCTATCTATAATAAGACAAACAAGAAAAGGGTACTTATTAGAAGTCATCAAGATTTTGGACTAATTTATACAAATAAATCTAGTAATTTTTTTTATTGGTGCTGATCCCACCGTCCAATGGGTTTCAACATCTTTATTTAAGGATCTTGATGTTCATGAGTATCCTAATTGACCTTTGCAGTATTTTATCAACATGCATGTCATTATCTTGCTTATTGTCAAATTTGAGGCATAATTTATGTATAATGTAGATATATACTATTGTAGTATTATACAATTAAGGCATGTTGATCAGCTCCGGTACATGTATGCCACATGTACGGTGCGTGATTGGCTCGGTCTTTCATTTATAATAAAAAATAATTGGCATGCCAATTATTTTGCAGGTGAATGGATATATATGTATATATATAATTTCATTTCAGCTAAGGTGTCAATCAATTACATGCTGAATTCTAGGCTTTGATGTAGTTTTTTCATCTTAAAAGGGTTTCTATCAAAAGGTTGGTTTGAAAGTGATGTTTGTTGAAATGGAAACCCTAGCCAAACCCCATCAACATATATTTAAAATAAGATTGTGTAATTAATTAACTAAAAAATCCTAATTAAAACCTAAAATAAAATTAAATGATGGGAATAGTCCAAATTCATAGATAGGACAAATGTTTCAAATTTCAAACCCCTTGAAATGTTTGGAGCTAGGTTGGTGCCCTTGCTTTAAGGGACCCATTAATCTAATATATGTGTAATGTTTATTATACATGACCAAAAAAAAAAAACTTCTTTTTCTTTCTTTCTCCATTTTTTTTTTTGGGTTTCAGTTCCTGAGTAATATTTAAGTAATTTTATTTCTGATAATTAATTTGTGCACTGTAAAATATGATTTATAATTAGGCTGATAATTTGAGGCAGCAAACGCTTCACCAGTTGCGTAGGACATTGACGGTTCGCCAAGCAGCTCGTTGTTTTCTTGTAATTGCAGAGTATTATGGCCGCTTAAGAGCGCTTAGTTCCCTTTGGGCTTCTCGACCGCGAGAGTAAGTTTGTTTTAACTATTTTTTTTTTCACTTTAATTTGAACTATATTATATTTATTTCATAATTTCTAAGTGTATGTTATATTAATCGTATTTGAACTCAAAACGTGTATATATATATTTTTGTCGAAATTATGAAATTATATTATAAAAAAATCATTTTCGTCACACTATGAAATTAAAATTTAAATCGTTAGTGGTGACAATAAAGTTGGGACAGACAGTAATTAACTCAGTTTAACAGATTCTGTATGATTTCGACGCGTGTGTATTCATGGAAAAAAAAATATTGGTGTATTATTGTTGTATGATTAAATGTACTCTTTTTACGCAATGTTTACTATGAAATGAAAAGATGTACCTTAATTAGAGCATGTAATTTCTATTTGCTTAAATTATTGTACCTTTTTTCTTATATACTTAGGACCATGGTTAGTGATGACACGTCATGCCAAACGACGAAAGATTTACAAATGGTTCATCATCATCATCATCATCAACCTTCACAGAATCATTTCTCGTCGTTTTGATTGGAGAGATTCAATCCCACTAGCCAGCAGAGAGAAGCCACGTCATTGACTATCTCCTCGATCGGTTGCTTTCTTTTTGGCTTCTGTTGGATTTCTTCATGTTCTGCTTTTTAGAAGGATAGGGAATTAATATATATATATATAATTTTATTTATATTATATATATATCTTTATGTTTTTAATTTATATTTTTTTCTGCTTATGATATATGTTAATTGTCACTGTTTCATCTTTTTGTAAATGTAAATCAATTATATGTGCATCGAGAAGCAATATCCTTTCTTGGTTAAAAAAAAATTGAAACAGTATGCTTATACATATTTAATTTTATGTCATCTAATTTTTAGTATCTTCTACTCATGAAATGGCTCTCTTGAAAGCTGTTGAGAACAAATGAAACATAAGAATTCTATGCTAGGGTATCATAACAGAAAGCTTATTAATTCTTGTTAATTTGTCGATTTTTTTTAAAAATCATCAATATAATTTTGATGTCATCGGTTTATAATTGTGTTCTACTAATATGATAATCTTTTTATTTTCTTGTCGCATAATTCTCCGTGGTATAAATGTGTAGAAAGAAAACAAAAGGTAGTAAGAGATTATGTCGTCTTTCTTTAATAGGAGGAGAGAGAAGTTATATATATAAATATATATATATATATATATATGTTGCGCTTCATTTATATAAAGTGGTTGTGTAGAGTTTGTATTCTAATATTTAACGTAGAGAAAACGACAGAGAGAAAGATGTAATATTATTTTATAAAAATGGTAATGGATTAATGGAGAAGAGAAAGTTGGTCGTTGCTCTCCATTTATACATATTTATAACAATGTTGATTACTCGATTATTGTAATACAGAAACGGACGAAGAAAATGGTTGGAGAGATTTTTGTTTGACTTGAAAAAGCATAAAAACAACGAGCAAATTGCGTGAATAAATGGAAGGTGGACAGGGTTCGACAGGTACATAAAAATAAACTGATTCTTAAATGTCCATATAGCTCCTTGATAACATAAAAAAATAGGGACTAATTAATTTTAAAGTTTATATTTTGCAGCTCAAAATGGCCAATGCCTTCTTTGAGCTTATGATAAAATTTGTGGACGCTTGGTTCATAGATTCAGAATCATTTTCGATTTACGTGTGTTTTTTGTAAGAGAAAATAATGTAACGAACCATGATTCGAATCATGACACGAATCTACCAACCAAATACACGGGTATTTACTAACTAATTACATGACTTGCACGTAATTAAAACTGACCACTAAAAGAATTGAAGCCCCAATGACGAAAATGTCAAATTTGCAACTCATTAAACTTAGGCCCGATGAGAGTTTGGTTCAATTTTGGGCACATATCAAATTTAAATATTAACTCTAATATGATAATAAAAATATGCATAACGATAAAAGGATTGTATTACAAATTTACAGCCGTCTTTTAAAAAGGATCTTATAAACGCGGGTTTTTCAATGGGAAGTTTTTGAGTGGCAATTTTTCCGAAAAAGATAAAGCATTTGAGGTTAATTGTAACTTTAGGGTAATTAAAAAATGTCATATCAGCAGACATAAAAAAGTACTTGGGAAAAAGCTATTTCTAGCATTACTCCACGTACAAGTAACATTAGTAAAGTAGGAAAAAAAAAGAAGATTAAAAGTAGTACGCATGTGCCATCTTCTCTCTCTTGATACATGTACATTTTACTTATTTTTTTAAGGAAAATTAAACCATATTTACTGAAATCAATATTAAGACAAATATCTTGTCTTTTGTCAGGAAAAATGATATTTTTGACACCTTCATAAACTTAATTAGCATGCTTTATAAAACACATGAGGAATAATTATATATATATACGTGTATTAACGTAAGATTATGCCTATAAATACAAGGATGCAGATATATATATATATATGCGCTTGCTTGCTTGCTTGTAGGTTTGCATATCTGAGGTTTTCATGGTAGTTTCAAAAAATTTCCTTTTACCCGAGACGTGGAAATGGAAATAAAACAAGGTGGTGTAATTGTAGATAAAGATCTAATAATCTAAATCTAAATTATATACAACGTAAGAACTTTTGTCTTTTTTTCCAAACAGAAGAATTTACTCCAGTACAATATTAATTAATTAATAAATCTGATCCCAAAAAGGTGTAAACTTAATGATAAGAGCTAGTACTTAATGTAGTAGGTAACTAAACTAAGGATAAGATTGATCTTATGTACCTAAATTATGGAATAAACTTGAAGAAAGTTATCATATTTATATGTTAGTGAACATATACGTACATATATATATATATATATATGTATATATATAGTTTGGGGGTGTGTTCGTCATTATTTTCTTAAACCCAAGACCGACAGATCATTCACAATTATTTGGAAATAATATAAACGCACCAAACTCAACGGTAGATATGTAACAAGAAGTTTGATTAGTTAATGATATCTTGGCAGGCCAACAGAAAATCAGCAGATAACCGACGCGCATTCCTTTTTTATGTTCCTTTTTGCGAAAGATTTTGCTGCATTCTTTTTGGAGTAAGAATAGAAGAATAATGTTGGACGTAGATCAAGTTACATGCTATATTTATACTGTAGTTGATTTGCTTTATCATCATTTCCACAAAGTGGGAAATTATTCATTTGTAATTTGCTTTCTATCTTTTCTAAAATACTATACTCTTTTTTTTTTTTTTTTTTTTTTTTTTTTTTTTTTGTGGTTGCCTTTTCGGCCTCTTTACTTTTTAGATCCATTACGACCAATCATGGGAATAAATTATGAAGGAAGGGTGGCAAGATCATGTCACTATCAGCGTGCCTTTGTTTACCTCATTAGAAAATTATGGGGTACAAGATGACCCTATCTTCATTCCTTTTACTTTAATGCATACGTCTTTTTGGATTAGGTTTTCTTAATCAAAGTGTAATGCTGCATGCGTCATTACTTTTTGGTAAAAGCAAATACATAATTATTTATCTCATATATATATATATATATATTGGAATAAACTCATTTTTAGTCTCCGACCGAGTCTTAATTTTGGTCTTTAATTTTTGAGACGTCTCAGAACGAATTCTCAATCTAAAATTATCTCAAATTAGTCATCTTTCTATATTGGACCATTAAAATCTCAACGGTATAACATCGTCCTTCATAGTCACCTAAACATGTGAAATTACAAAATTAACTCCTACTAATCACACATTGTCACATTCATTTTTTCATTATCATTTTAACGGTCAAATGGGCGGGAGGAGTATTTTGGGATGATTTCATAGATTGGAGAATTATTGTGAAACATTATAGTTTGAGACTAAAATGAGGTTTTGACTATAATTCGAGTCTAAAAATGAGATTAGCCACTTTTTTAATTAAAGAAATACCGATTAGTACATTAAGCGGGCCTGTTTACTTTCATGAGAAAGGGAGAACAAGCAGTGAATCTAATACGTTTGTACTCACAAAATTAATAATGATGAGGAAAAGTAATACCCATCATTCCACGCCTTGATACTGATTTCTGATTAAAGGGAGTGAAAATGTATAAATTTTACTTATAAACTCTTAATGAGTTCAAGTTTTTTATTATGTAAAAGGACAATTTGATAATCACTTTGATAAAATTTTTATTTCTAAGCATAAACTTTAGAAAGACAATTAGAATGGTTCTCATTCCATCATCAAATAGATAAGTAAATACTAAAAAGAGAATCAATAATTCTTAGTTTTATTGTTTTACCTGTTTTTTTAATTCCATTATCTTTCTCTTTACATTCATTTACCATTTGTATACTTAGTGATTATGATGTTGTATTTACACATATATTCATATGACCCTAATGTGTCATTTAACCTAGCTTTGTTGTCTTTTAACACCACTAATTGATTATTTAAGTTTGACTACACATGGCATTAAAATTTACAACCCTTGTGAGATACGTTGGCCGTGTTTGGAATTGATCTCGTTTTTGTTTTTACGTTTTTCGAGAAAGAAAAAATGAAGACGTTTTCAAAACGGCGTTTAGCGCAATAAAAACAAAAAACAGAAATGAAAATGATTTTTTTAGTTTAGTGTAAAATGAGAGAAAAATGAAAAACGACTTTTAATCATTTTTCATTTTTTATTTTCGTTTTCTCCTCTCTCGAGCAGAGAGAGAAAGAGAGACATTAATGGATTTTTTTACACTGAAAATAATATTTTAATAAAACTACCAAACGCATTTTCAAAAATGATTTATGTCTGAGATTGAAAACGTTATCATTTTCATTTTCATACCAAAAATAAAATCATTTTGAAACGAGTTCCAAACGCGCAAATTGTCTTTCCACGTATTGTTCTAGATTCGACTAAGTACGAGTTGTGATCAGTAAATGTATACATAATTGTATTGTGTATTATTATATACTCTTGGTTGAAGTATTGGCAATTGATTTTTTTTTTCCACTAAAATGGATATTATTGTAGCTTAAGCCATTAAACTAACAACATATAAAACAAACTGAAACCGACCTTATTTAATTGTTTATAAGCTTGTCAATGTGTTGCATGCCTTTGTTTCGATCGCAGAAGGCAGGAATCTGAGCAGTTGGTATGGTTGACCGACATATTGTCAAATACTTAATATTTAAGAGGGTAATCAAGTGGCTTTGTGGAGAGAAATTTGAATTAATCAAGCATAAATAAAGATCTTAAACAATATTTAAATATAATTACTTGTAAGAGCTTATTTGGCATTGACTAGCATGATTGCTAAAGCTCACCTGATCTTCCATAAAAAAAAAATGGCAAAAGGGTTTCTTGAAAATCCGGTTTCTTGAAAAAAGTAATGTTGTTGACTTGGTTTTGGTTTTGGTTTGTAAAACGTTACTACTTATACGGTCAATAGTTTGGAAATCAGCAAAAAGTAATTCATAATTGTGCCCTTTTTGGTGACGTCCAAACACGCTTGTGTTTAGTTTCTCTCTCTCTCTTTTTTTTTTTTTTTTTTTTTTTTTTTTTTTTTTTTTGAAGAGATGTATTAGTTTAGCTTCATTGCAGGTTTTCACAAAATAAACATCTCAAAGACAAATACAATATTTTTCAATCAAAATTATTTCCGTGTCTTTGACAAAATAGTTCTTTCGCTGAGAATATGAGAAATATTGTTGTGCCATATCTTAGTTTTAATGTGACAAAGAGACCAGAATAGAAACAAATCATTTATAAGCTAATCCCAAAAACAATTATTAGCGTCTTCTAGCGTGGTTTTTAAATTTTAAATTATAGAAAGCTAACCAAAAAAAAAAAAAAAAAGTAAAATAAAATCATAGTATTTGCCGTGCTTTTTATCCCTTCTTATCATACTTGGAGAAAAATCACAGTTGATGTTAACCCAAGAAATCCCGGAGAAAATCAGCTGATAAACGATTAACAGAAAATCTAGTATATCCTGCTTTGAGCTAAGGAGAAAGAGAAGAATATCCAAGGATAACTCTCCATCACATTTTTCCATTACATCCTCAAAACATTTCGTGTACCAAAAAATATTATATGTACAACTTTTAATTAGCTTGCTTAAGCTATAACTACGGGCTTTTCACTAATACTGTTCTGGTATAACGATCAGTTATCGGCAGTCTCACTACATGAGCATGTTCAAGTCTGTCAGATCATCCATTGGTATTTCGAGGCCGATGGAATCATGGTCCAACAAGCCGTCTTCTTCAAAGTTCAACCAAGAACTGAGATCTTGATTCTCACCAAGCTCCTGTGAGGCTTCTAGATCTTTCATTGAATCTAATTCATTCAACGGCCCAAAAGTAGCGCCCTCCTCTGCCTCTTTCGGTTTATTTCCAAGCAATGTAGTTTCGCTTTTTTTATTGACGACATTAATCGCCGATTGACTTGACCCACCAGAAGCATCTGTTGATTCCATAAACCTGCCATGAACTCCACTTCCTGAAATTGTTCGAGTGTTCTTCTGCTTCGACTTAACTTTGGTTTTTCGTTCCGTCTGAGAGCTGTCCAGAGAAGAGCGACCACTTCCAGAGAGAGAATTGTTTCGCAGAGCATCTCTATCACTTCTCTTTCCGTTTGCCTCAACAACAGCACTATCAAAAGCAGAAGTCACTCTCGAAGAAGCACTGCCAACAACATCATCAATCAGGACTTCCCTCTTCTTCTCTCTGTTCAAGACGGATCCCTGCTTGTAAGAAGTTCGCTCAGCGTCGTGATTGGCAGTTTGAAGTCCTCCGGGTGAACCTCTATCAAGGTTATCACTATGCGAGTCATATCTTTCGGAAGCACAAGAAGCAGCACCTGCAATATTGAGAGTGAGAACAATAAACACCGTGTATATAACTGCCAACACTTACAAACTGTCAGCTATTTCTCAAATTTCCCTTTTCATTTCTCCGTTGAAAATTTGCTGAAACTGTAGGTTCTCAAATTAAGGGATGGGGGTAGCGACTTTCATTATTCATAGATTAAAAGATGGTGCGTATATATATATATATATATATATTTTTTTTTTTTTTTTTTTCCCCTAAAAGAGCATATAACAAATTATCTCGACATACCTCTTACTCTAACTTCTGCCTGACAGGAAGCTTCATTGCATGTCTCACTAGCGGTTCCTGATCCAATGCAATCAACAGTTTTTACAACATTGTTGCACGGAGAAGAAAACAAGATGTCTTGAAGTGCAGGATCAGTAAAGCAACTTTTGCCAGTTTCTTCAAATTTAAGACATCTTGCAAGTGTACGCTTGACAAAAGCCAACGCAACTTGTCTTGGAACTTTGCGGACGCCACTTTTTGAAGCATTACTCCCACGGCAAGCCTGTAACATCGAATTAATAGAAAATGGTCCGTGACTCATGAAATGTCTCTGTTCATATATTAACTAAACTAAATTAAAATAGTTTTCTATATTACTATGAAACCAAATACATCATAATCCCAAACAGTTGATGAAACGCTTATTGCCAAAGGGCAAAGTCACTTCTAGATTTGACACCGTAATTATATTCAAACATCAATAATCAGGAAATATATTGATATGAGAGTAACTCATACAACAAATATCAAACGGAAAAGGGGTTACAAAGGAAGAAACCAAAAGTTCACGTTTTTGGTTTTCTGGAAACTTTATTAGCAAGCATGGGACAGCAACTATAAATGAATGAAATAAAGAAAGCAAATTCATGCCATGACATGACATGAATAGTATAATGGGATATGGACTGTTTATGGTAATGAACAAACATCGAATGTAAAATATAAATCCAAAAATAAGATCCCCCTGTTCTTGAGCAAAAATAAATAAATAAATAAAGATTTCCCTGTTCAAAAAACCAGTAAAACATTCTCACACTTCAGTAGATTATGAAAGATGAAAAACAAAAATCTTAGGACTGAAGTCATCAACACACACAAATGACTCTAGACTGATCTTTATCAAGAAAATATGCCACATTACACACTGTTGCCATACATTGAGGTTCTAATACACTTCCTACCATGAGCATTTACATGAGCATAGTCAGTTTAAGAACATATGAATTGATTTTTAAAAATAAAAAAATGCAGAAAACAATTGAGCAAAGGAGTAAAGTAATCACCATTCGTTTCCTGTAGGCCATCTCAATGAGTTTGTCCATTGCAACTTGTTCAATTTTCCTGCACATGACATGAAACCATATTGTAGTGATTTAGAGCAGATTCTCTGGCTTGGTGTGTTCTTTTTAAATGAGTCATCAGTGCTCTTAATGCAAAGGTAAAAACATCAAAATGAGGGAAGGACGTTTTGGTTTCAACAACCATCGATAAAAGAAGAATTGGGCTTTAACAAAATATCAAAAGAATTGTGGATCGTACCGTCTTTCTACATCTCCCCCTTTCTGAATAGCCTTATCGATTTTCTCCAAGTTTTTCTTCTTTTTCACAACCTGATAGTCAAGCGAGATAGGAAATGATTAGGAACACAAGGCTTAACGAAAAACAGGGAAAGAAAAAATAAAGTGAATCAAGACTAACAACGAGAAAATAACGAATAAAGGACACTAGATGCAGTGAAAATGTCATACTAAGATAAGATATGAAAAGATATATGACCACTAGAAATAGAAAAATCTTTGATAAAGAAACCTGTGTGTGAAGCCTTTCCTTCAGTTCCATAATATCTTCATTAATTACTTCTTCTCCTTCTGCCAGATCAGGCTGCAACGAGGCAATGAAATACCAAAAGAAATCATGACCATATATACTAAACTCCAAAAGATTTACAAAGAAAATTTATCTAAGGAAGTCTCTACAACAGATGAAAAAACAGAAAATCACAGCATACCAGTGTCTCTGGATATAAGCCAACACTCTGAAGCTCCAAGAGAAGCTTGTCATTGATCGACATCAATTGATACTGGCAGTCGGATTGAGGAAAACTAGGAACATCCAATTCCCGAGGTTGCAGTTGACTAAGATCATTTGAACATATTTCACCAACATGCCCAACATCAGAATGTGAAAATTCATCATATCCCCGCCACCGTTCGTTGCCATGTAAAAAACTGGACATGCTCACATTCCTTGATGTGTTGGTTGCAGCACTATCACAAGAAAGTCCGTCCAGCAAACAGCTTTTATTCGTCGGAAAACTCAGACTTGACTCTACTTCACTTTCGATTCTGTCCTTATCTTTGGGTTCAATGTCATTTTGGTTACATGAACCACAATGAGAATCATCACTAGCATATTGGAGAGACATATTCTTTCCTTCAATGCGGTGGTAAAAATCTTCACTTTCATCTTCTTCTATTAAAGCAGAAAGCACTCTTTGGTATAGTGGAGTAGCCTTATCAAACCTTCTCCTCTTCAATTTTCCACACTGTCTATCTCGTCTTTCTCTAGAACAAAAGCCAGATCACTAATCCGCAAGACCCTGAAAATGTTAAAGAATTGAATAGTGTAACATACTCTTTCATAAACACAACATTTATTTTCAGAGAGAGAGAGAGAGAGAGAGAGAGCTAAGAGATTGAAGCATAGTCAATACCAGTACTGTCAAGCCATCGCCAAACACCTGGGATAAACTCTCTCCAATTTCCTCCGCAACACTTAGCTAACCAAATATCCAAAAGGAATTACATTATGTTTGAAGCTGAAGGTTTTCCGTCAAAATCAAAATTGCCTCATCACATCCAAGTTACTACCTGTTGATTTAAGTAGGACGCATCCTCTGAGCCCACAGATGCAAAAATATAGTCCATTTTCTTCCAAAATGTATTAGAACAGGCAAGACCTACAGAAACAAGCAAGGCAGTTCTCAGATACACATAAAAGTCTACATATTATGTGTGTGTGTGTGTGTGTGTGTAAAGATGCTGCTTTCTGAATGACACATACTGCTAGCGCTACGAGCAGAATTGGCAGCCAAATGCAGTTCTTCATGATCATCATCAGATTCACCTGGAAAACAATGTGCTAGGATGTTAAACGCCATCTTGCTAAATTCTACTGTGACGTAGCGTAAGCGTATAAAAAAATAAGAAAAAGGGGATAAATTCCTATTATCCGTTGATTCGCGTAGAATACCGGAAAACCCGTTGATTCGATCGGAATACTGAAAAATAAGACTTCTACAAACTTGTTGATTCGCTCACGAATACCAGGAAAATAGGCATCAATTACTCGTTGACTCAACAAAATACCGAGAAAATTGGAATAGATATGTTGAGAGAACTCTAAAAGCACATAATTTTATTAATTTCTGAAAGAACTAAAATAACAAACTAAGATCTCCTATTTATAGAATACTACAATTCAAAATAGAAAAGGAAATTAATTTGAAAAAAAGAAAAGGAAACTGAAACTAATCCTAAATATCCCTAACTTGAAATTTATAATAATTCAGAAATAAGACTAGAAGATATCGGGAAACAACTAAAATAAATTAAAATACGAATTTGAATTAAATCGGCAACTTCTATTCAACTCCTTGTCCCATCTCTTCGCGCTGCATGATACTGTAACGATTAAACAACACTTCCTGCAAACACCTAACCTCGTGCCAGTGTGCTACATATGTGCATGAACAATGCGCAAATAAACTAGAAGAAAATCACAATAAAAAAAGAAAAAGCAATCATCAAACTTAAAGAATCAATAGAATGTACAACGACAAGGAAGATATCCTAAAATATAGGAAAATTTTGTCATAAAAGGAATTGGAAAGTGAATTCATCTCCCTCACTGACAATTTTTAGAAATGCTCTAATGTCTAAATGTTATAGGAAGCGGATATCTAACTAGCTGCACCTTGTAAGATTCATTATTCCAGTCAAAAAATAAAAATAATAATTGTGCCTCTGCAACACGAATATCAGTTCAATTATTTCATCGCATGCCAATCACATACATAATTAATAACCTAAATACGAATAAGTTAATTATTTATGATAATTCTCTGCTACCTGTGAAATCTGAACTACCATTAGATAGTGTTGGTCGAAGACGAGGTACAACCTTGCGATCTTTCAGCTTTTTTAAAGGTGGACGACCTGTCTTACTGAGACCAAAGAAGAAAAAAGAATAATTATGTGGAGTACATAATTCACTTAATTTACCCACAGCAATGAACAAACAAACAAGCAAACAGACAGAAAAGAAAAAGGGAAAGACCTTCTATTTTTATCAGAAATAGGCACTATGTCTTGAAGTGGCTCCGTTGCTGATATCTTCTTTGAATTCTCCTTCACTAGAGGAATGCCTGCTGTCGCTAAGGATTCCCTCCCAGTTCTTCCTTGCTTTTTAAAACCATCTCCACTTCCATCAGTTGTTATTTTATTCTTCTTCACAGGCAATCCAAAAGCTCCTACTTTATGAGATGTTGTCAAAGAAGCCTCAGCATTATTAATTTTTCTCTCCTTTAACTTATTTTCTCCAGCTCCTGATTCTTCACTTTCAGAGAAGTCATATATAGATGTTACATTCTCATTTTCACTTTTAAATTTCGGGCTATCATTATTAACATTGCTCAGCAGCACTGATCCAGTGGTTCCAACTGAGGAAGTTCTAGTACTAAACTCAGAAGTTGCAAATCCTTGAGATGAAATCTGAGTTTCAACATGATTTGAAACAGGAGAAACTAAATTTGTTCTCCTTGAACGTGAGTTTTTATGTGGCCGCTGACCAACCCACTGAGCCATATGATGCATAGGTGAACTTGCCGCTGCAGATACTTCACGCTTTTGATTAGTTGCTGCACTTGCCACTGCAACTTTATTAGGCTGTTCGCAACCTTGAAATGCTCCAGATGGACGGACACTAGGAGATGAATCTAAAGCCATAACAGAACTAGTCCGTTGTGCCTTAGAAACCTTCCCTTTTGTTGAACTAGGACTTCCTACCGAGTTATGTTGTTGAATGTTAGGCCTGATGAAAGGAGCAAGAAACAAAATGTCCAGCTTATTGCATTGGCAACGTGAAGAATGGAATTTTTAGTATAAAAGGACACACATGAAAAAGTTGATAGCCTTCCTGCATACAAGTTTTATCAGGCTCACAGCCAAACTATATCGTTAAAAAGATAATATATGGATGAGAAAGACATACTTATTGCTGCCTCTAACCAAAAGGCCGGACTCTAAGACAGCCACACGATCCCTTGGACGAGGGGGACTATCATGCTCACTCTTGTGTATTGCACAGGAATCTGAATTAGTAGGCTCGAAAGAACTATCTAACTTGTTGATTCCACCAACTCCATAAGATTTCAATCTGCAATTTATGAAGGTGAAAGGATAAATTTTTCTCATTTTTATATCTATAATTTGTTCGAATAATTTATGCTTTTCTCATTTAGAATAAATTATTAGAATGCACAAAACTACACACAAGTTATGTAAGAAATAAATTTGGTTGGGATGATTACACAGGAGAACTGTTACGCACTATACAGTACACTATCTTATTAGGACTTATTGGAAGTAGAACTCACATTTACAAACATCATAAATTTCAACGAGACAAAACTATTATTGTTCGGGCAGAAGTATGATGTAAAACATTTATCTCATTTCATACCCAGCAACAGGAGACGTTCCTAGCAGACATATACAAACAGTAGGATTATTTCATCTCCAAGGTCAATTCTGAAGCCAATATTTTAGTAACAACTAAACGTAAAATTTATTCTATTTTATCTATCATAACTGCAACACATGCCCGGCATAAGAATGCATGGGTCCAACATGCACAAGCATGCGTGTGCTAACTCATAATACAAATTCAAGTTATGTATGTATTAACATGTAACATGTCAACTATTGAACTGAAACCGTGGTTTTAATAAATAGCATGTTCCTTTGTATACAGGCAGTACTTTTACTTTGGATAATGGCATGCTGATTACTGGTACTGTTAGAAGGCTTGAGCCAATTTTGTTTTCTTAAATTTGTATAGGACTAAGTTCGAACCAAACGAAAAAAAACCCACACAGGAAAATGGAAGGAAGAACCAAATTCCCTCACACAAAGAATAAGATTGAATAGCAAGCAAGCAAAGAGAAAGTCGATGCAGTACATTCAATGGGCTTGCTAATGATATGAGCAGGTAACTGGAGTGAGAAAGCCCGGAAGAGGGTACCAAAGAAGGAACACCAATAAAAACTTGAGATCCGACACCATAAAATACTACCCTCATGATTAGACCATGTCAGCTAATAATATAGAGACAATTATCCCTAGGAAGTACCAAGTCATGCAACATTGCTGACAACTGTATGCTAGACATATTATGGCTCGCCACTGAAGGGAAGGGGGAAGAAGAAAACATTTCCTAAGCTCCAAAGCAGAAAAGGAGACTCACAAGCTCAGAAAGCAGACACGAATTTCAAAACAAGCCTGCGGACTAAAGTAACGAGCATTTGGGGATAACGCTCTTCACTACAATATTATATGGGCTTTACACTCTTCACCTAGTCCTCCCTATAATAGTTAATGTTGCACTGCAGCAGCTAACAACAGACTGGTCCAACGTTAAGATGGCAGTGTATAGCTATTAGAAAGTGATATTAAACACACGATGCACATGAGGCCACAAAATAAGGTTAGATGTAAAGTGTTCAAGTGGGAGAAAAAAACAAAAAACAAAACTAGTTGCCCATGAATTTTAGATAGGACCACAAGAAGATACTTTCCAGGGTGCAATATCCATGATGGAACAATTGACTCAGTGCTACCAAGCAAGGTCACCAACCAGGCCCACCCCAACATTTCCCCTTTGTAGAACTGCCACTGAGTCACTGACAGATCTCTGGTTGAGGGACACATGCTCACGGGACCTAAACCTATAATGCCTGCGCCACCCAGGTACCGTCTGGATCTGTCTCGGGCTTTATCCTTCTTTCTCCAAGTGAATGTAAGACAAGACAGAAAGAATTCGATCATAGGGCTTCAATTGTAGATCAGTTGGATTATACTGCCAACAACTTCCTCACTAGATTCTTTGACACATTACAAAAAAACCTCCTAAATGTTTAGAACAAGATGTTTTACCGGAATTTTTTCTCTCCCATGACTTTTGGGCAGAATTACCCATTTACATGCTGTAAACTTCACGTAGAGTGTGGTTGGCTTTTTCTATATCAGATCAATACTATTACATCGATAGAGGTACATTAACAGGGCACGGATACTATTACGTAAATGACAAAAGGCACTTTTATAGTGAAAATATAAAATTTTTTAATTAAAACTTAAAAAAGAAACTCCAATTATTCTTCATACATTTGCGACGGCAAAGGTATACTGGTATAGGACAAGCAATAGTACCCATAAATTTATGAAACAGTTTGATATGAAACATACCTGAAACTATGAGAATCACAGGATCGCAATTTAGAATCCGAAGTTAGCTTTGGATTCATGAGTGGTTTTTCATCACGATCGCCATTTACAACTCTGCTACCTACTGATCCAACAGAACGTTTCTTTTTTATTTTCTGATCCAAACATTCACCCGCAGCAAGCACTTTGCGGGTCTTTTCTTCAGTTCTTCTAGAACTGCCACTAACAGGCCGGACAGAATTCCCATCCTTGTCTGCAAACATATCCTGCCTTGAGTTCGATGCTGACCTACTATCTGCCTGGTAACATACAGAAAGTAAAGAGGAAATCTCAGAGAATTAGAGGAACATGGGCCTTTCTCAACAAATAGTTTGAATACAAACCCGTTGATCCGCTACTGACGTCCGAATACGTTTGTTCAACATGACATTCTTTGCTCTGTCCTCCAATCTTTGGGTAATGATGTCATGTGGACTTCTAATATTAGGGTTTTTCAGTTTTACTAATTGATGTTCACTTCGCTGCCGCTTCTTAGAGCTTAATGCTTCTCTGTATTTATCCAGTTTGAACATGGATTCATGAAGCATTCTTGCTCTATCCCTGGTATTCAAAGATCATATTAAAATACTTTTTGTATAAACACGTATTAGATAAAATGACATTGTAAGTATTTCTACCTTTTTAAAAAACAAAATCAAATTGTTTAAGGACCGTACAGGTCCCTCAATCCAATTTCTGAAACTGACATAGCGTCATTTCATTTGCAAACATGAATATCATAAAAGGTAATTTATTCATTTTCACCATGATAATAAAGCGATGCTGATCAGAATGACTTTGTAGACAAATGCCCATTGGTGTTTATGGTATTACCAATCAAAATAACCATTATTATCCCTTTAATTAACTCTGGCCAAATAACCAGCTCCAAGGAGATAGCACGCTGACAAAAAATGACAAGCAAGAAGTAGCAGCCATACAATAGACAAAATATACCTGGCCTTCTTAGAAGCATCTTGCACACTTTCTTTGAAATGTTTTAGTTCAACTTTTCCAACTGGAGCTGGAGCTTTAAGATGAGAAGCTCCAAAAGAATGGTCCTCAGAAGTACTAGGAACACCAAGTACCCTTCTTAATTCTCCAGGCCGCGGATATTTTGGATTGCCCAACGTAATAGGCTCCAACGGCAAACATTGGGGCAGTGGTGGCATATTGGATGGTGCTGCACTACCTCTGCTTAAATTATTCCCAGAGCTTAACATTATTCTCTCAAATGCCTCGAAGGCTTCAAACTACTTGCAATTAAACCAACCTCGTTTGAAACGAAATTCAATTTCGTTTTTTTCCCCTGCCATCATACAATGTCCCATAGATGAGCATCTATAATCTAGATTCTAGCAATAGCATATAATACTTCAAAATCAGGAAAATGTATTGAAACTGTGTGAATGAAACGTAAGAACAAGGGGAAAAAAATAAAATAAAATAAAACAACAACAACAACAACGAACCTCAGTTAATTTTCTAAACAAGAAATTGGACCCACTTAAACTAATTCCATTTTTTTTTTTTTTTGTCCAGGGACAGATACAACTTGCATTTAGCTACATTTTTTACTTCCTTTCATATTTGTTTCGAAACTTTTTTCTCAGAAACCTAAAAGCAAATTTTTTCTCGATAAACATAAATCCTAATCCTAAATGCACCATATCAACAGCAAAAATTTACATAAATTCACTGGCAGACTACGGTAATATAACAATAACACTAAGAAACATATCTCTGGACGCATCAAAATAAAACCAGAAAGTGCAAACCATAAAAATCTCCAAAAAGAAAAAATTAATTCCCCATGTCGGGAACCAAATCCTTTTTTTTTTTTTTTTTTTAAATAACGACCCTACAGAACCCAACCAAATCAACAAGAATAACTAATTGGAGATTCTTTTTTTTTTGTTTTTTGTTTTTTGGTCCTTTGACAAAGCCAAAAACAGCATGAAATTAACCAGCACAAGCCTTTTTATTTTTTTATATAAGCAAGCATTTCCTAGCATGAAAATAGAAAGTGATCACGAATACCAAGTGCGTGATCACCGAAAAGGAAGAAGAAAAAAGGGCAATCGAACCTCGAACGAAGCTCAAGGACTTCCAAAAACCCTAGGTCGAGGAGATCAATAGAGACGAAATTCAAACTGAACTACATGAAATTAAGCGAAATTTAGAGAGGAATAGAGGAATTGAACGTCACCTGAGAATCAAGGATGTCAAGCACGGATCATACCAGCAAGCTTAGAGAGAGAAAGTGAGAGAGAGATGTAAACGAAAGCGGGAGAGGGTTGAGCCTGACGGTATATATATTAGATTTCTTACACAGGAATAATCCCGTTTATTTATTCTAATTATTTTCTTTTTTTCCTCCGGAAACGAAAAATGTGCGCGGCGATCTTAGAAAGGAAATTCTGAGAGAGTTCCATAAATGAGAACCAATATATTGTGCTTAGGCATGGTTCATTTCACCAATTTGAGTTTTTAATTTTATATTTTTATAGTAAAAAATTCTTAAAAAATATCACATTTAATTTTTTCTATTAAAGTAAAAAGTTTTTAAAAAATATCACATTTCAGCTCGAATTAAAAATTCGAATCCATGAAGTGAACGAGGTATGTAATAGTAGCACCGTTAAAGTAAAAATTGTTTTTATTTTTTTGAGAAAAATTAAAGTATCGTTCATTTCACTGATTCAAGTTTTTATTACATTTAATTTTTTTATTACAGTTAAAATTTTTTACATAAAATCACATCTCAACTCGAATAAAAATATAAATCAACGAACCAAACGAGTCTTGCGTCAGATTTTTTTTATCCTATTTAGTAGACGATAGAGTTCTGCTTGACCCAGTTCGGCTAGCATAGTAGCCTTTAAAAAAAGAAAAAAAAAAAGTGCATAAGTTCGCCATTATTTTACACAATTTTAATACTTGTGTCATTTTAAATATACTCCGTTCACTTCGCTGATTTAAGTTTAGAATTTAAATTTTTTTACATAAAAAGCTCTTATAAATAATCACATCTAATTTTTTTACTACAGTAAAAAATTCTCACGTAAAATCACATTTTAACTCAAATTCTAAACTCAAATAAACAAAGTGAATAGAGCCTTGTGACACTTTAGATTATTTTTTTATTCATTTAATAAAAGATATATTTTTACTATGCCACTTTATAAGTAAGTTAGCATTGTCATAACTTGTCGCTTAGATGGACTGGTTGGCCCGTATGTTTTCTTTATTAGCCCATCTCGCCTTCTCATACGGGCCCGCCCTGTATTTTCGTGCCTCATGGCCATATTTACAGCACCAATGTTCTTAAAATTTTTAAAGTGAAGGGATATTTATCTTTTTTTATTTTAGGTTGATTTTTATAATGAAATTTTGAAAAAGTTTAAATTTAAGTTATAATTTTATTTAAGTGTATATTCTTTTCTAAAATTTAAATTTAAACTCAAGTTTATGGTTAAATTCAAATTCAAGTTTTCCCTTCAACTCGAGTTCATAAACTCGAACTCAAGTTAATGAATAATATTTTTTCTATTCTTAAAAATGTCATAACTTTTTCGTTTTAATTCTAATTGAGGTGATTTTTTTTCTATGCATTCACAACAAAAAAGGAATAAAACCTCACCCATATACCATATTAAAATTTTTCATCACTATTGAGTTTTAATTAAATTATTATCTAAATACAAATTTAAGTTTTGACTTACCCAAACATAAACTCAAAAAGATTCTCAAGTTATAACTCAAACTCAACTCAAGATCGTCACTCAAGTCACCATAACTCAAAAAAGTAAAAGAACAGACCCTTTGTGTTTTGGGTGTATTTAAAAATTATATTTTTAGTTTTGATCTAATTAAATATATATTTTTAAATTAGATTTAATATTAAAATTTATACTTTTTTATAATCAATCTTCAAATTTAACCTTAAGAATACTTAAAATACCCTTAAATAAAAAGATAGAAAAAGGAAAAAAAAAAAAAAAAAAAAAAACCTGAAACAACTTTAAACTCACAATTTTAACCTCTAAAATATGTAAAATACCATTTAAATGGGTCTTTTTGTGTTATTAATTTTTAATTATCATAGTATTAGAAAACTTTAGAGTTTTTTCCCTTTTCTTAAGGATTGTTTAGTTATTTTAAATGTCAAAATCAATTATTGACCGAGATAAGACATAAATTTGTATATTAAATCTAATTTGAAGGTATACATTTAATAATATTAAAAATTAAAAGTATAAATTTTAAATAAACTTAAAACACACGGTATAAAAATATAAATATCCCTAAAAGAATGAAAGACATCATGACACTAACGATCTCTGTTTTAGAAATTTTTTAAAAATAAAAGAAAGGAAAAACAGAGAACTCTAACAATTACTCTAATATAATGAGAGTTGTTTCTCACTATTTAAAAACTTGACAATGTTATTTTGTACTTTTGTCCAATTGCCCTCACATTTTTATTTCCTTTTACCCCTAAATTTCATAGTGCTAAATGCGTCATTAAAATTATATTTTCTTTTGTTTTGCCCATATTTTAAATGATTTTCCTCAACATGTCTCCAATTAATATATTCCTTTTCCTAATGATCTATGAAATATCTGTGAAACATGGTCTTCATAAGTGCATTTTCTTTTTCAAACTGGTCATTCACAAATATACCTTCTAAAATAGTTTGTTGTCTTCGTAAATAATTTATTGGCTGATCCTTTCTAAGATCTTTCTCTTTTTCTTAAAAAAAAAAAAGATGTTTCTACCTAATATAATATTAACATTGTATTTTACAGTAGAAATGGTCTAAGAGCGTCTACAGGACAATGTCAAATTAGTGTGTTGCTGTAAATTTTACATTTGAATAAGATAACCACTCTACAACATAACATTATTTTTGTGTTAAATTTAGTCTGTGCTATACTTGATCTAAAATTTGGTCCCAAATATATTATGTGCCAAATTTTTAACAACATTATCATTTCTAAGATCTCGTTCATTCCATCAATTCGAGTTTTACTACAGTAAAAAACTCTTAGAAACAGTTACATCTATTTTTTTTTTTTGCTACAGTAAAAAGTTCTCACACAAAATTACATCTCAACTCGAATCAACGAATTAAACGGGCCCTACTAGTCATTTTTTAAACGCAACCGTTAAATTTCAACGGAAAAAATACATGAGAAGATTATGTGCTGTTAATTATTTAATTTTACATATTAAAACACAACTACAAAAGGAAGTTATTCCCTTTTCCATTGAGATTATGGCAGTTGAATGAGCAGAAAGATTAGTTTGGGACAACTTTCTAGTTTGGAGATTCTTTCTCCAACGTTTTAGAAGTCAAAAACCAAAAATATTATTTAATTATATTTCAGGGATAAAAATAATTTAGCCCTTCCTATTTAATTATTTATAATTTTTATGATTCTATTCTGTGTATAAGATGCCCGTAGTTTTTTTTGTTAAATTACAAAAAATAGTAAAAACTTTCAACACTTAAGAATGTAATAATTTACGCGATTGAAATTGATAAATCAGTTGCATGCCGGTAAACCAATAATTAAGTAATCAATGACTTTTTGAGATTAATTAAAATTTATCAAAAAGTAATCAACAAAGTACGGAAGTCATATTCTCAAGTACAAATTTTTTTTTTTAATTTAACAAAACTGTGGACATTTACTTAAAATACTCTTTATATGTATAGCAGACAAAAAATTAGATAAATTTTATTTATTAGTAGCTCTTTTAGTTTGTTGATTCGAGTTTTTAATTTGACTTGAGATATGACTTTATGTGAGAGTTTTTTATTGTAGTAAAAAAGTTAAATGTGATTGTTTTTTAAAATTTTTTACTGTAACAAAACTCGAATTTTAAACTCGAGCTCAGTGAAATAAACGATACCTTATTGTGACAGTGGAAATACATCTCCCAAGTTCTGGAAGGGTGCTGTAGCGCGAGCTCCACGTAAATTAGAAAAGTTCTAAACCATGCAAGAATTGACTTGTTTTTACACTAGTATTCGCCCAAATAATGTTTTTTATAGTTAAATTAATATGGCTAACTTCAAGTCTCCATCTCTTTTTTTTTTTTTTTTTTTGGAAAAGTAATCACTTTGTTGATTGAAGAAAAGGAGAAGAATATTCGAGGAAAGAACTTTTACCTCAAAAGGAAGTAATACATTTTTTTTTTTGTCCAACATTATTTCTCCGTTAGCAATATTTTTCATGTAAATCATATTAGAACGCACGTTAGATTAATTAATGTTGTCATTATAATCCTTATAAAAAATATGTTGTCACTATAATCTTTTCAAATATTATTTTCAACACAAAATTAGTCCACGGACAATCTTTTTCCTTCAATTTCGTTTTTCTCCTTCTTCATTCGGTCCATGACAAACTCAAAAAACCAGTAGCAATTAACCAAAATAGTGTATTCAGCCAAACAAAAAAAAAAAAAAAAAAAAAAAACCCAAAATAGTGCAGTCAACACTTTCTTAAAATACCCAACTTAATTGAGGATACAAAAAGAATGAGAAAAAAAAAATGAAACAAACACAAAAGACACCACAAAATTATTTAACGACAATACACATGTCCTTGTGGTGTACATTCTTTCTAGGGGAAAAGTGAAGCCCCTTTTATTATATATTATTATTACAACCACCACACTTATTTTTTACGGAGAGAACTTAAAACTCCGTTTATTTCACCGATTCACAGTCACATCTAACATTTTTATTACAATAAAAAACTCTCACATAAAATCACATCTCAACTCGAATCAGCGAACTAAACGGACCCTAAATAATTAAGTTGGCATTTGTATGTTTACAACTAGAGACGACTCTCCCAATACAAAGAGCAAAATGCTAATCAAATGCAGCACAAAAGTGATAGTCGTTTGGTATTATATGACACAATATGGAATCCACTAATTGGTTCTATATTTGACCACTTGGCAACATTAAAATACAATCGTTCATCCTAAATCCTAATAAATACATAACCATTCTTGATCAAATGGCTGTTTGTCTGTGTCAAAGGCTACTAAACTTTACTCTTCACCAAGCTACGCTAGCCGCCCTCCTTATTGTCCTCAGTTTTTCTGCCATGTTTTGTGCCTTTGTCGAACATTGTTTCCTTTTCATCAGTACCTAATAATAAAACATATAAATTTCAGAGCAGTTCTATTTAGCTATGCATAACATAAGGTGGTTCGCAACGTTAAAAATTAGGTGACGTTTGTTTCAAGAGTTATGTCTGGTTTAGGATTACAGTTCGTGATTCTGTTACAGTGTTTTTCTCTTATAAAAAATTTAAATTTTAAAAATCAGAATCATGAGTCATGGTTCTGAACCCATAAACTAAATTATAAATGCTCAACACTTGTGACTAAAGCTGTAAATTTAAACCGGACTAAACAAACTGACCCGAGGCCCATCATTATTAACTTCAGCCCAACCCAACCCAAAGTTTTGAGTTCAAAAGCTTATTAAGGCCAGGCCGGGCAGACCCAAACACTTTTTCTTTGAAAATATTTTTTAAAAATGTCTTATAAAACTTCGAGCCTAGGGCCGGCCGCATCGGGCTTTAGAATCAGGCTGAGTCGACCCTCCCCTCTTTAGAGTCGGGGCCAAACAGACCTAAAATTTCTAGTCAGGGTGTGGCTCGTAGCCCGTTTAGTTCATGAATTAGAACCATTTTTTATTTACGTGTATTTTTTGTGAGAGAAAATACTGTAACGAATCACGAATCATGATTCGAATCAGGGAACGAATCACTTTACCAAACGGGCTCGCATATCAACTTGTGACCTATTAATTGTTAATTAGCATGGGTCCCACATAAGTCCTACGTTGGTCCCTTGCCGATCACCAACTGTGCTTTGGCACAAGAATCTCTCACTCTAAATTTTGTGTTGTATAAAACAATATATACAGATTTAGAACGTGTTTTTATACCTCTCGCTTTCTCTTGAGCTCAATCTCAGCCTGTTCCACATTACGGGGAAAAAAAAAAAAACTTTGATGAGCGAAAATTAAGCAGTCATATTTACTTTAAAAACAACAAGAAAAAAGGGACAAAAAATTTTCTCAGTTTACCATAATTTGCTTCAGCTTTTCATTCTCCTCTTTGAGCTGATTGAGCTCAACTTCCAGCTCCACGGTATAGGCCTGCAACAAATCATAGAATATAAAATTTGATTTGTTAAATTCTGAAATTAATTCCTGCATGCCTTATAATAAAATATGAATTTAGTTTATACTTTAGGAGAATTATAGGCTTAAATTTCCAATACTGATATTTCTTTTCCTAATTCCTATTATAGTGATCTACCATTTACTAATTTTAACTACAAATAAATGTAAGGTAGTTTTGGCAATCATATTCATTTTGCTTCATATTCCTCCAATTCCTAACGTTTTTAGCAAACACAACAATTGATTACTGGACAAAGTGAAGCATAAGAAAATTACAATTCACTTGTCTTGGTTTAAAAAAAAGAAAAGTGAAAGACATCTTATTCTAAATTCTAATTCCTATCCAATCATATTCCAATTATTTTGGATGCGTTTGAAACTCATTTCAAAATAATTTTGTTTTTTGTATGAAAATGGAAATGAAAATATTTTCAATCTCAAACAGAAATAATTTTTTAAAATGTGTTTTGTAATTTTATTAATATATTATTTTTAGTATAAAAAAATTCATTAATGTCTCCCTCTCTCTGTGCTCGAGAGAGGAGAAAATAGAAACAAAAAATAAAAAATGACTAAAAGTCGTTTTTCATTTCTCTCACATTTTAGATTAAATCAAAAAATCGTTTTCATTTCCGTTTTTTATCTTTAATTATGTCAAATGCCATTTTCTTCTGTTTTCATTTTTTTCTTTCTAAAAAAACATAAAAAACAAAAACCAAACACGGCCCTTATATCACAGATAATACAAATTCACTGCTTTAATCTTTGGAAGAACACAAGATCATGTTCATGTAGGAAGGCTAACCTGCTTCCTGGCACGGGACCGAGCCGCAGATTCTCTATTCTTGATCATCCTTCGCTGCCTTCTCTCCACCACCACCTCCGGCGGGCCATCAATTATCCGCTTTTTTCCGGTCTTTGTCCCGCCAGTTTCAGTCAAACCATTGCCTTTCTCACCAACACTAGTACTAGCACCACTATTAACATTGTTACAAACTTGTTGCCCCACAAGCACGCCACTCTGTCCATGCACTTGGTAAGCTGCAAAACCAGAACAAGTACCATTACCAAGAAAATGATTTTGATCAACAGATTGCCGAGTCGAAAACCCGGAACAAGAATCCAGAATCCCATTCTCAGCTTTCCCGGCAGATTGATCTTCAACCAGGAATGTCACTGTCTTGTTCTGAGAAGACCCTTCAGATGGCGATTCTTGAACAACTCCAGCTTTCACTAGGAAATCCTCCAATGTCATTTCTCCTAGCGTTTGTTGTCTTTGAGGTCCCGAATCGTCGGCCTTTTCGGGTTCTGGCTCCGAGGACTCATCTTTGTGAATCTCAAACCAGATTTCATCCACAGTTTTCTTGCATAGTGGGATTGGAATTGAGAAAGAGCCTTGCCTCGAAAGAGTACTTTTATTAGTACTATTGTTATTATTACTTGGCTGAGCTGATAATTTCTTGTCATTGTTCAGTACTTGTTCTTGGTTATTGGTCTGTTGTGGGGAGACTTGGTTTTCTTCAACACTCCATATGTTGGCGATGAACTCCTCCATGTTCATCGACCCGAAGCTCCTTCCGCTCTTGCCTTGGATCTCGTCGAACGTAAGCGAGAAGATCGAGTTTTGCTTGTTCAGTGAAGGCAACATTGTCTGTTCTTTGGATGGTTCTGCTTGTTCTGGGAGGAGGTGTTGTTGATGATCAGCCATTGTGTTTGAATGTGATCCATTGCCAATGTTTTTTGATTCTCTAGAAACTTCCATTTTTTAATGTTGTGTTTCTTCAACTTGAAGCATTGAATTAGTTACAAGTCCCTGCACTCCGAAAGAAGAGTAAAGAAAGAATGGGTTAATTCTGTTGAAAAGAAAATGGAAACAGAAAAAGACAGAAACTGTTATGGGCTATTGTTATTTTTAATGTTTATTTTGTTACAAAGTTGACAACATTACTAGAATATAAAAAGGTGATATAAATTCCTTTACAAATAATAATATCTAACTACCCTTTAGTATTTTGGTCCTGGATTAAATACATTTCCTTTATTAAAAAGCTGCTAGTTGATTAATTGTAAGAAGAATCGAGAAAGAAATTAAATAAGCAAACAATAAACCAAGATATATAATTATCTCCCCGGTTAATGCTTTCATATCCGTAGTAACTTTGTAACGTGTAAGCTACGAATTTGCTTAAAAAAAAAAAAAAAAAACCATAATTCGCGTTGATTTGATTTGTGTAAATCATAAAATGTAAAGTACTTGCATATGCATTGAGAACTATGCATGTTTAAATGGGAAAAAATAATAATAAAGAAGAAAATAGATACAATACTTATCACATGATTGATTATATATCAAACCCACCAGTGAGATCAAGTAGAAAAGAAAATAAAAGAAAAGAAAAGGTAATTACATGTCATGATTTAACATAGAAATTGTTAAGAGAAAACATAGAAAAAGTTGAGAAAACATTTTACCTCAAAAAACCACTAAATGGATCTGGTTGAAACAACGCAGAGAGAAAGTGAGCAAATTCAATGGAAGGAGAGAGAGAGAGAGAGACGGCAGAGACAGACGAGTGAGTGTAACTGCCATGGCGTCTCCTCTGCTAGAACTCTTTATAGTCACGTGGTTAAATACAAATTCAGATTGTTTATTTCTATTTTTGGTATCAGAAATTCAGAATTCATGACACGTTTGTTGCCACATGCTTAAACCCCTCTGCCAAAAGCAAAGGCTGACTCTTGTTTTTATTTGCTTTCCGTTGTATTGTCATTTCATCGGATTATCCGCCACACGCACAAATATTGATTTTAGGATAATCATCTTTTTTTGGGTGAGTGAGACTTCAAAATCTATTGTTCATTTAACTGATTTAAATATAAAATTTAAATTTTATTATAATAAAAAAATTTTAAAAATAATTATATTTAACTTTTTTATTAAAATTTTTTTACATAAAATTACATCTGAATTTAAATTAACGGACTAAACAAGTTCAAAGTTCATGAGCTCATTGCATTAAGTTGCTATTCGTGTAAACTTGCGTGCAGATTAGGTGCACGCTTTTTTAAGCAGCTTCAGGGTTAGTGCAAAGGTTGAAGGGAAAAGTATCGATGATCCTCGGTTTTAGTGAAAATTCGATGTTTGCATTATATTCTATGGTCCGCTCTTTTTGAATATTTGAGTTTAAAATTTGAATTTTGTTACAGTAAAATGCTCTAAAAAATAGTTACATTTAATTTTTTTGTTATAGTAAAAAGTTCTCACACAATATTACATCTCAATTCGAATTCTAAACTCGAATCAGCGAAATAAACGGGTAATTAAAAAAATATTCTTTTAAATATATACCTAATATTCTTTTAAATTGGCAATTTATAAAAACTTCAATCTCAAAAACAGGTTCCCTCGAACTTTGGATTTCATAAAATTCATAAATGCCGTATGTAATTATTTTAAGTGCATAAGTGCCTCCCAAATTATTAATTTAAATCGTGATTATGTCCACTTATCTTTACTTTTTTTTAAAAAATAGGTTCAAGTTGACATAAGATTAGTTGTTTTGGAGGCAATTATGAAATTACATCATTTTAAGTTACTTTTAAAACAATTTTATATAGCTAAACAATTCGATGACGTTTGGTTCATAGGTTTAAAATTATAGTTCATGATTTTAATTTTTTGTGAAAAAAAATACTGTAGTAGAATTAATAACCATGATCCTAAATCAGACGGAACTGTTAAAACAAACGTCACCAAAACTCTTTTTAAAAATTGAGAGACATATTGCGGTAGGAACGTAATTTAGCAAGGTACATTACTCATCGAGTGCTCATTTATTAGTCCTCCATTTTATTTGGACCATTTAGAACAAATTGATTTATCTAAAGTCAAAAAAGTTACTCAACTCTCGTATTCTCATGGTAAATTCACCTTGTTATCTATTATCGCGATGCACCGTTAAGCCTTTTTTTTTTTTTCCTAATGGTTTGCTCATATTTTTAAACGTACTTTTACACATAGTAAAACCTGTGGTACAGGTTTTTCTACATGTCATCCTAAAATGAACGTATCTTAAACTTATGAAATATACGGTTTAGTTATGGGACACTCATTTATTCTTCAATTTTTCGAGACATTACAAAAAGATATGTTAATCGGGTGGGATGAAAGTACAGTGAAAGAACAGGAGAAAGAGAAAAATAGGCTAAGACTCGAGATGAATTAAAATTAATAGGCCAATAGTTTACATAAGTTAATAAATATGCTAAAGTATTGTTTTCGTCTATAACTTGTCTGCTTATGAACCATAACTTGACAAGTTATTGTCTATAATTGTCTATAACTTGTCTGACTATGAACCATAACTTGACAAGTTTGTCCATAACTTATCTGGTTATGAACCATAACTTGATAAGTTATGGCCTATTAATTTTTATAACTAAAAATTGACCTATATATTTTCTTAAGTTTTTCATATTGGCCTATTTTCTACTATTTTCCTGAAAGAACCTGTAATATAGCTATGCATGATGGATTGACTAGAAGTCAGAGAGATAATGATGGGGCAGCGGCATGAGATACCGCTAGAGGTGTAAGTTTGGGCTACCGGCCTGCCCTAAGCTCGGCAACCCAAAAGAAAATTTCAGCCTGGATTGGGCCTGATCGATCCTAAAAGAGAGAGGTCGGTCTAACCCAGTTCTAAGCCTTAAATTTTTAGGACCGACCTGAAATTTTATAAGGTATTTAAAAAAATCTTTAAAAATATGGTGTTTGGGTCGAGCCGGGCTGACTCTAAAGGAGAGAGGGTCGGTCCAGCCCGGTCCTAAATTTAAAAAATTTAGGGTCAGACCAGGAAGGACCGGGCTAACAGTAGCAGGCTTCGGATCGGCCTGTTTAACTCGATCCAAACTTACAGCTCTAAATATTACATTACTATTAATTTCCACAGTACTTTTTTTCTTTTAAGATTTAAGTTAAGTATTATACGTGGGTAATCTATTCGAATTTCCGATCGGTACTTCAGTACGGTTTGGTAGATTATGTATGCTTAGTATCATATTACCAATTATCCGTACTATGTTTTATATTTTCGTCTTTGAGAATGGTTATTGACTCGGCCAAGATTGTTATTTTAAGTTATGCAGTATGAGTTCTCATTTATGTCTAGTTTGAACTTAATATTTTACGAATAATATGTTTTAAAAGGAGTATAGAATGTACATGAGCCAAAAAAAAAAAAAAAAAAAGGTCCTAAATTTTGGGTTATAAGGTCTAAGATAGATTTTAAACGTCTAAGTTACATGTTAAATGACATCCGAAAAGTTAGCTCATTACATCCATGAGGTCTCAAAAGGTGATAAAGTCTGCATGATAGCTTAATCTTGTGCTTAATCCACTAATTAGCAATCATTCTTGATTAATTCAAACTAATGGTGTATTAAGAAAGCATATCGTTCGTCTCATATAAGCTCTAATCCACCATCATCATATGTTATTTAAATGTTAATTCCTATCGTCCATAAAATCCTCCCCTTCTCTATTTCTCTCCTTTTTCAATTCACCACTTTATCTCTACCTTTTGATCATATCTCCTTAGATCCTATCCATCTCATTCCATGGAAATATCACATCGATACGTCATTTTTTTTAACCGTTAAATCCGCGTATTTTTTTTAAATTTTTACGTAATTTTATACAGATTCAACGAGCATAAAACGTAGGGCCCGTTTATTTCGCTGATTTGAGTTTGTAATTCGAGTTGAGATGTGATTTTGTGCGTTTTCCTATAAATCTTGTGCGTTTTCCTGCTTTAAGCATTTTTTCTTATATCGCCTACTACACAAAAAATACCACAGACACATCAAACTCCTACACATAACCTATTTTTAAGCCGGTAATCCGACGGGCAACCCATAGGTAAACCGGTCTGTTTTTGTTGGCGAAAACTCACCGTCAACAAAAATGATTTTTTGATTTAGTGTAAAATGAGAGAGAAATAAAGAACGACTTTTAGTCGTTTTTCATTTTTTATTTGCGTTTTTTTCTCTCTCGAGCAAAGAGAGAGAAAGAGAGACATTAATGAGTTTTTTTACATTGAAAATAATCTCTTGATAAAACTACGAAACGCATTTTTAAAAATAATTTCTGTCTGAAATTGAAAATGTTTTCATTTTCATTTTTATACAAAAAATAAAATTATTTTAAAACGAGTTTCAAACGCGTCAAAAATGTTGTAACATAGTTGATTGTATGTTTAATAGTAGGAGAATAGCTAAGCATGTATCTCAGAAGTACAACCTTAATGTAACAAATTTAATAGGAGTTAAACAGTTAACCTTAGTTTAATAATCACATGTTTTGGGCTTGCAAAAAAAAAAAAAAAAAAACTTTACCATGCACTTAATTAAATAAAGATAAATATGAGTAGGAATAATATGTAGAAGACATAATGAAACGAGCATGGAGTGATGATGGGAGTAATATACACATAGATAAATTCATTTAACTCAATAGTGGGAAGTAAATAGAGTAAATAGTAAACGAGGATAGCAAAATGTAGATAATATATTTGAAATTAATTATTAGTAGTAATAGTAAACAGTCGTGTAATTGTTAAGCCTAGTTGAGTAAAATCAACACATAAAAGTATCAGGAAGCCTACTCCATACTTAATATAAAAGCGTGACTCATTTTTTTTTTAGTTTCAT